GGGCGCCAAAACCATAAACCTCAATACCCCGTCCGGTATGAGGGTGAAACGGGCCGTCCCCATACCCCGTCCGATATGGGCGCCTAAACCATAAGATCTCCATACCCCGTCCGGCATGTGAGACCACAATCCCGGTAGGGTTCCCTACGGACCTGGTCCGTCCACCATCTCCCAGGATATCTAGTTAGGCTGACCCCCATAATACAATTATCAGTCTACACAATCTTTCATTTTCCTTTTCCTCAGTCAGCATCATCAATTCACATACAAACAAGCAAAACAGTAATTCATGCCGAACAGACAACATACAGTATCAGTTTTTCAGTCATTCAACCCATGATTAATAAAAACGTAGTATATGCACACAAATCTGTAAAATGAACACATCAAACCTCATTTTGCATTTAAAGCTGTAAACAGGCTAAATAACAGTAAATCACCAATCACACTAGACTCGGGCTCCATTAGCCACCTTAAGCAATTTCACACATTCGTTAATTTAAGAAATACCGTTTTATCATTTTGAACTTTAATACCGTGATAGGAAATAGGGTGAGGGGTCCTTACTTGTTTTCGGGATCCGAATACGATTCACAGTGCGCCTGCAGGCCGTCCCTAATTTTCCCTGAATTTTTTTCCCGGGGAACTGAAACACACTAACAGCACCTGCACGTGTTCCAAAAAAAATCCAAATTAGGCCTAGGGCCTCTTTCGGCCCAAATCGCAACTCCGGCACGGCGGCTCCGCCGTGCTCCAACGACGGCGCCGCCGCTGGCGGCGGCGAGTCGCCTCGGGTTGGCTGTTTTCGGCCGTTTTCGGCCGAATTCGGCCACACTCGCATTGGTCCTTGTCAGAAAACAACCCTAGGGCCCTCGGGGGCCAAAAAGTCACAGAAAAGCGGAGCTTACCGGCGGCGGCGTTCTCGGGTACGGCGGCTCTCCGGCGAGGTTCGTGTTTTGGTGATTTGGCTTCGGTCAACCTGTAGAGAAAAGAATGGTGATCACGGTGATATAAAAATTGCATCGAACGGAGGCCGGGAAGGACCTCGTCGGAGGCAAAAACCGAGAGGGGGCGCGGCGGTGCCGCTGGGTTTCGGCCGCGTATTCCGGCCGTTTGGCCGGGATTTCGGCCTCAATTTGGCCATAGGAGGAATCAGCGGAGAAAAACGAGTCGGGGGTATGAAATTTACCTCGATCGGCGGTCGGAAATTTCCCCGGTGCGGCGGCGGGTGGCGGCGGTCGGCCTCTGGTTCGTCTTCTCCGGCGAGCGGCGGGCGGCTAGGGTTTGTGGTCTGGTGTGGGGGTTCTATTTATAACCCCTTGCCTTTTGATCACAGCCGTTCATTTCGTTTTAATCTGGGCCGTTCGTTTTTGATTGAATCTGGGCCGTCCGTGCGATTGAATCTGGGCCGTCCGATCGCGCGATTGATCTGGACCGTCGGATCGCACCCACGCGGATCGCCAACGTGGCTCCTTTCGGAGTGACGCGGTCTTGCCACGTGGCAGGCCCCGGTTGGCCGGGACTGCTGACCGGGCCTGCTGACGTGGCCCCCCCCTTTTTTTTTTTTTTTTTCCTCCTTTCCGGGAGCTACAACTCTCCCCCCCATAAAAAAATTTGGTCCCCAAATTTGCCTCATTACTCTTGATCAAACATATGAGGATATTGGGCCCTAAATTCTGATTCCAGCTCCCAAGTCGCCTCCCTAGGCGTGGGGTTCTGCCACAAAACTTTTACAAATGATATTTCCCGGTTACGGAGTATTCGGCTTTCTCGGTCCGTGATACTGACCGGTACTTCTTCATAAAACAAGTCCTCTCGGAGTGAAAGCGGTTCATGACCCACAACATGAAAAGGGTCCGGATTGTACTTGCGCATCATACATACATGAAACACATTGTGAACCCGGGAGAGCTCAGGGGGCAGTGCAAGTCTGTAGGCAGTGGTACCAATCTTGTCTAAAATTTCAAAGGGTCCAATGTATCTGGGGTTTAATTTTCCCCTTCTGCCGAACCTACTAATTCCCTTGAAGGGGGTGATTTTAAAAACACCCGGTCACCTTTCTCAAAGGCCAGTCTCTCCTCCGGGTATCAGCATAACTCTTCTGCCTACTCTGACCTGTCTGGATGTTCTTCTTGATCTTAACTATCTTGGACGTGGTTTTCTTCCACCAAATCCGGGCCAAACAATCTTCTATCGCCCACTTCCTCCCAA